CGCGCGATTGGCAAGAGCCACAATTCGTCCTGGGAGAACTGAACTGAACTGAACTGAATTGAGAGGCGCGTTCCTTGAAAATGGCCTTGAGAGGTTTCTCTCGCCCTCAGCTTCTTCCTTGTGTTTGGTTGCTGTCTCAGCGTACGGAACACCGGTTCTTCACTATTTCGGCTTCCAGATGCAATTATAAATTAGCAGTAAAGCCTCCAGAAGAGCGAACTGTGAAGTCAGGTCTGGATCGCACTGCACGGGCTCTGCTTCTTACTGAAATACTGAAGGGGTTTTCCATAACCCTCGGAATGTTATTCAAAGAACCAGCAACCATTAACTACCCTTTTGAGAAGGGACCACTGAGTCCAAGATTCCGTGGAGAGCATGCACTTCGACGGTACCCAACTGGAGAAGAACGGTGTATTGCCTGTAAGCTTTGTGAGGCGATTTGCCCCGCTCAAGCCATCACGATTGAGGCAGAGCCACGGGCCGATGGAAGCCGAAGAACCACAAGATACGACATAGATATGACCAAATGCATTTATTGCGGGTTTTGTCAAGAAGCCTGTCCAGTTGATGCAATTGTTGAGGTAATGCTTGTCCTTATGTCTACAATTATGTTTGCATTAACTGTTTCCATTTTGGTATGGCTGTGAACAAAATGAGAGGCTTCTAAGCCTGGATGAGTTCAGAAGAGATTTAGTGAAGATTTGCCATAAAATTGAATACCTGGATCCCAGTCATCATAGCCGCCCCATTGGGGTCAGTTTGCACCCAGAATCGGACTCAAATAGAACTCTACGGAACGGCTTCCGAAAGGATTGCCTTATATTTGAATCCTTGAGCCCTACATCGCCTAGCGCATACCTACGTAAAACTGAGATGTAACAATTAACCTTATCCAGATCCCTGTTTCGTGCCATTTTAAAGCCGGTCACCTATCGTCTAGATCAGTAAACTACAAAACCGACAACTGACGTGTATAACTCCAGCCCCATTATAGTAGGCATCAAAAATGACAAAAGTTTAATTGAATTTGTATTGGAAACAAACAGAGCTGTTGAACAATGTATCCCATCGATTGTGTTGCGTTGTATTTCACACCCGTCTCAGTTCAGAATGCATGTCAAAGAAATCACGGTAAAATAATCTTAATAAAAAGAAAAACGTTGAATTATTATGTTTTGGCCCCGATGCTGCCAGATTGCCCAGAACAGTTCAGGTAAATTTTCTTGTGGAATTCACAAACAGGACCTTCAGCTAGCCAAACCCTGACCCGCTAAGCAGCGAGGGATGTGTGAAACCCGCAATCCATTGGGGGCCGTTGTACAGTTCGTCGGGTTATGCGCCCATTGGATAGGGTCAAACGTTCAAGTTGCCCAGTTGAACCGGCGACCACTGCCACAGCCAGAGAGATGTGTGAGGTTCGAACGCCTGTTCTTGGTTTGTTCGGAGTCAGGCTTTTTTAGCCAACTTCCTTAGGTGAACTGTCAGTGACTCGCCAACGAAGTTATCGCGCTGGATGTCGGCTTCTCACTCTTTCTCTCTGTTGCGGAAACATCCGCGCCACGTGAAGGTAGTGAGTAGTTCTTCCTCAGCAGAGATTATTCGAGACCGTTGGTCATATAGGAGCATTTCGCGAGGTGTAGTGGAAGGGTACTCAGCCACAACCCAAGACATCCAGCCATACTGAGGTTTTCGAAAGCATCCAATCGATTAAAAATCCGACAATTCCTCAGGGTGTTTTTCCTTGGTGCTTCCTCATCGATATGTCTTTTCCCGGGCCTTCTGAATCCACTCTTGTTTTTGTTCACGGACATTGATAAGAGCCTCACTCGGGAAAGCATTTTTCATAGTGAAACCTAGATATGGGTAAATTTTTATAATATAATAAGCTTATTGACAACCAACTTCGCAATGTAAGTTGATTCCAAGCTGTATCTATTGTTGGTTTCATTCCAGTTTATGGTTGAATTAAACCACCGATGTAGCGTGGTATCCATGGTATGACGGACGTATTCTGTAGCTGCGCTGCCGCCTACTTTCAGTAGATAATTGACTTATTAAATGAATAATGTAAACTATAAACAAACATCCCACTTTTGACTCCCCCAGTTCATCCTCCAGAATTTATACTTCTGTCAGTGGTCGCCAAAAACCAGGGTGGTAATGGTTCGGCTTCGCCCTGAGCCTTCAGTATGAGCCATATACTTTCGGAATGTATTGGACGGCGGTGAATGATTTATCCCTGAGCCACTGGTTTTCTGAAACCGCCTCCAGGCGCACTTCTGTGGTGTGAAGGGCTTTCCAACTTTGTACTTCATCGTTTTGTTACTTATTCAGTCTGGTCATCTAAGTATTTATCAGCAAAAGTGCATTAAATTCTTGCTTTGCAATGTCATTTCATTTTGCGAAACTTTTATTCCCACGGTGGCCTCATTTTGTCCCTTTCCTTTTAGGGCCCCAATTTCGAATATTCGACGGAGACGCACGAAGAATTAATGTACAATAAAGAAAAGCTCCTGCAAAATGGCGACCGCTGGGAGGTGGAAATAGCTGAAAACATCAAATCAGACTATTTGTATCGATGAACAACTTTATTCTCTAACTTAGTTAACATAATATACTTGAGGTAGAACTCCTTTGCAATCTTCCTTGTTTATTGGCTGTTCCTCTTGTTCTCCTCCGCCTCCAATCTATTTTTTTCATAACGTAGATTGATTTACAGAAAAAGGGCAAACATCATAGTCAAGGCCTACTTGTAAGGTGGTGTCTGGTGGGGTAACCGGACTAGCAATGCTGAGGTTAGGCGTGAAGTTTTAGGCAGTCGCGGTAGTCCACTGGAGCAAGTGATCGACCTCCATAGATTACGTTGGTTGGGGCATGTGTTACGCATGTCACCAGATAGGTTGCCACGGCGAGCGATGTTTGTCAAGGCTGGCAGTAGATGGAAAAGAGCCAAGGGTGATCAAACGAAGACCTGGCATGAGGTTATGAAAACCCTAACCAGGAGTCTGGGTCACATAGGCCCCGTTAGGCTCTTTGGCTGGGGACCTCAGGATGATGGTCATCGATGGTTAGCTACACTGAGTGATATGGCTGGTTGTCGCAAACAGTGGCGCTCGTGCATCCACTCGTTATTTTTCTAACACCACTCTATATGTATTCCCCATCTTCCGCTTGAATTTGCTTCGACATTCCAATCTTCATTTCGCTCTTTTATCCAAAGGACAGCAATCAAAACCGGCGCACAAAGTGCATGGTTAATGGTTGTAAAAACTGAACCTGGAAGGTGTGAGGCACCTACTTTATCCAGTGGTTCTGTTCGTTTCTTCATGCCTCGTCTGCGATGGCAAACTTATTCACCATCAGCAACGCCATCTTGATCGGTAAGCTGAACATTTCGAGGCTCAGTTAAACTGGTCCCCATCAACATCTGACCTGTCACACCCACCTCGACTGTGCAAATACTGCCTGTTGATGCCAGTCCCCCATCTGAAATTGAGGTTCCCCGGTAAGTAAGTTACCTCAAAAGGCATCCGGCCCAGATGGACCCTTCCGGTCAGCATTTAAGAATGGAGACTCAGCGTTCTTCTTGGAGTTGATGAAACTCTTGAGCTCAATATGTGAAAGGGGAGAGGCTCCAACCAAATAGTGTGAATCGGTCATCTCATCTATCTACAAGAAAGGTGACAGATCCTCTTGTGAAAATCACAAAGGACTTAGTTTAATCCACATTGCTTCTATACTCCTCGCTGTAATCATACTTCGTCGATTGTCTGCCGCAAGTGAAGAGTGCACCCGTGAGAACCAGACCGGTTTTAGACCTGGTCGAGGCTGTATCGAGCACATTTTCACTCTTCGCCAAATTCTAGGGGACTGACATTCTCTTCGGAGACCCACTACATATGTCTTCCTCGATCTGAAAGCGGCTTTCGATTCAGTCGATCGTTCTAAACTCTGGCGCTGCCTTTCCCTGAATGGTGTGCCCGAGAAGTGTATTCTAAAATTACGATCCTTTATCGTAATAACCGAGTCCGAACTTATGGCACTTTTTCGCCCGAGTTCACCACGGGAAGCGGTGTTCGTTGGGGTTTTTCTCTCTTTGTTTCTATTTAACAGCTATAGATTTAATTATGGAAACAGCCGTATCATCTTGCGAGAATAGTGGCATCGATTTGCACCCAAATGGCAGNTGTCTGAGCTGGAGTATGCAGACGACATTGTACCGCTAAGTGAAGACCCAGGTAAGTTGCAATCTTTTCTGGATAGCTTGAGTGCCAGCGTAGCCATGATCGGTATGCTTTTTGCACCTTCAAAGTGTAAAGTGTTGCTACAGCACTGGGTTGGTCCAGCACCCAGCCTCACTATAACTGGAGAAATAATAGAGCAAGCGGATAGTTATGTTATTTGAGCAGCTATATCTCACCCGGCGAACGCATCACGGATGAAGTGTTCGCTCGCATACAGAAGGCTCGGTTGGCACTTGCCAACTTGAGACATCTGTGGCGACATCCGGCTGCTCGTGAATGGTCGAGTATATGCTGCGAAAGTTCGGCCAGTTCTGCTATACGGCGCAGAAAATTGGCTTTTAAGGAGGTAGGATAAAGATAGACTGTCGGTGTTTGAACACCGCTGTCTACGCAGCATTGCACGAATCTGGTGGGGCAGCCGGAAGAGCAAAGCTGAGGTTAGACGCAGAGTTTTGGGTAACCGCGGTCGCCCACTGGAACAAGTGGTCAACCTCCACAGATTACGTTGGTTGGGACATATTCTACGCATGTCATCAAATAGGTTGCCACTTCGAGCGTTGTTCGCCGAGGCAGGTAGTGGGTGGAAGAAAGCTAAGACCTGGTATGAGGGTATGAAAACCCTAACCAGGAATCTGGGTCACATAGATCCCGTTAGGCTCCCTGAATGGGGACCCCGAGATGATCGTCATCGATGGTTAGAGACACTGAGTGATACGGTTGGGTGTCGTAAACAATGGCGTTTGTGCATCTCAGCTACTTTGCAACCTTGGTCCACCGAAATTGTCCATCTTCTCTTGGACTCTACTTTTAACTTTCTTGTCTTCCTCCTACTATTCATCCAAATGGGCAGTCAAAGACAAAAGCCAAAACTGGCGCACGATTTTTTTTTATTACACCTAGGTGTGATGAACAGCAGACGGGGTAAACTCCATAGTCACGAGGAACTGCTGTTCAGTGGTTGAAATCGGCAACCTAAGCCCCGGAACTTGGAGTGGCGAACCACATAAGGC